GCCCGATGGTTTGATAGGCGAAGACACAGTAGTTGAAGTGAAATGTCCTTTAGTGGCGTTCAAAAATGGTCTAGAAGAATGTATAAAGGAAAACAAAATACAGATATGGAAATATAATAAAAAACGTGAACTGATTGAAGTGAACAAAAATAGTAATTGGTACTATCAAATTCAAGGGCAGCTCCACATAACACGTAGAGAAAAATGCTTGTTTGCTGTGTGGAGCGGTGATAAAAAGCCACTAAAAATAGAAATTATAAAAAGAGATGACGATTTTTGGGAAAAAAAGATGAAGGAAAAGCTGGTGTCATTTTTCATGACCTGGCTTTTGCCTGAAATAGTCGATTCTCGGCGAGCGCGTGGAATGCCACTGCGAGAAAAAGAATCGTCATTAGTAGTCACATCAAATGACGACAACAAAGGAAACGTCGCTTGTTGTAGTAGATGACTGAATTTTGAAGAGTTGTGATTTGAATTATTTTTCTTCCCACAATTTATATATTTATATTTCGCTCCGTATGTGTAAATACATCAAAATACTCGTAATTAAATTATATTAAAATAATTAGTTTGTTTAATTTTTATGTATTCTTCAAATAACCCAAATAACTTAAAAATAACACAAATCCCCAAAATGTGTCGTTTTATGCAAAAAAGTTATTAACTCGGGAAAAAAATTATGAAACAGCTGTTTTTTTTTTATTTTAGGGCTAGCACTATAGTAAAATTTGTTCATAATGGTTTACTATTGATTCTGAAGCAAAATATGTCTAAAGGAATAAAAATGATTGTTTTTATAAATTCACAATTTTTACAATTTGCTGTTTCGAGAATAGGCCATTTCTATTATTGACCATTCTGGTACAAAGTCATTTTATTTAAGAATTAATTTATTATTCATTTGATGAATCCGTTACAAAATTTCTCGATAACTTTTTCTAGAAAATAACAATTATTGATTATTTTAAAATTAAGAAAGTAAAATATATACATATTTTAAAAATAAGAAAACAAAAATATATACATATTTTAAATATGAAAATAAATGTAGAAACATTTTAAAAATACGAATACAAAATATCGTCTCATGGGATTCGAACCACCGGACGTTCACGGAAACGCGGTGCAAAGGCGGACAGCGGCATGCTGGACCGATTGTATATTTTAGTTTACGTCGAGAGTCTGCGAGATTCACGCGGTGTGCACCCCGCAGTGGGCGGGACTACTCGTCCCCTACTTCATCTGCTTCACCCCCTCAAATACACAAAAGTTGTCTATACACCTCGCCTTAATGTTAATGCATTATTTTAACTGATTTTACTGCGCACGCACACATTTGTAACGGTTGATCAGTAGGCAAAGTTGTTGCCCATAAATCACATTCAATTTGGGATAAAGTAGAAGCCTTAATTACGCGTATTTTTAAAAACTGCATATCATTATTTACATTTTTGAACATAAGTTCAAAATTTGGCTACTCTTTGAAAAATAAGCTTGTATATGTTGTCTTTTTTCATCATCATGAAAAGTCCACTGCCAGACATGGGTTTCTTCTTTTGGAAAGATTTCGTCCCGTCATGCTTGACAGACGTGTCGTACCTTCGACAGCGCTACCCGTTACCGTTCTAGACATTTTACTAAAGATGTTAAAATAATTTAACAAAAATCCGTGTAATAAAATAATATGATACGTCTTACTTAGTTTGAATCCAAACAACTACTCCAAACACCATACATGGGATTAGTGACGATAGGGATAGTGCATGCAATTGAAGAAGGACAGGAGGTAAGTACTCTTCAAACTAGATAACACACATCATTTTTTTTTATAGGAGGGGGGCAAACGAGCATGCCGCTCACCTGATGTTTGAGATGATTCTATTGATGATTTTATTTTATTATTGGATTTCCGCAAAGTAACGCTTCATTCTATTAATAAAATTTTACGTGTGATTCTACCCTACTCTACTATCTGACATTACGTATTGTTACACCGCCATCTATCGCAAGGCATGTGACCTTTCTGGAGTTTCTCTAAGTCGCTTGTAACACTGATGTGACGTAATGAGATGATAGAATTTTTGAGTTTCATTGAAATAATTGGTTTTTACCCTTTTATTTAAAGTGAAATAAATAAGAGACCGTGAGGTATTTATTTAATTGAGTCCCCCCAACCCATTTTCATAGAGTTGGAAGCAGTTGAACTGTCAGCTCGTTTTTCAATCAAATATTATAAAAAACTGCGTATTAAGAAGTATGTAATTTAAGCATGAAGCAAATACAAAGAGGAGACGTTGTAATTCAATTTCACTATGAAACATCGCGTGACAATTTGCGGGGTGAGGGGATGCAAAGCCCCGCCCACTACACTATCTACATCTACCGATAAATAGTAAAACTACTCGAATCTTTCCATATCAATGTTGCAATGTAGTTTAGCTAGCTTGACGGTAGATGGCGGCATATCTACAAAATATTATAAATTAAAAAATAATATTTTGGCGATTAAAATTTCTTTATGTCTGAACGCAAAACAAATTTTAGCACCTTCGTATGATAATTTTATCATTACTGAGCTCTACGTACCTTTATATTTTAGTTCACAGGACACAAAGTGTCGCCATCTAGTGTGGAATATATTTAATTATATTTGAAAGCCGACGCAAAGAGATTTTTCTAGAACTATTTTAATAAATTAGGTGTAAAATTACTTACAAATGAAATGTGATGCCATCCATAGCATCGGAGCGTCTATCTCATGAAGCAAATACATTCAGACAAAGAAATTTTAATCGCCAAAATAATATTTTTATGGTTTTCATAATAATTTTGGGAACAGGCCGCCATCTATTGTCAAGTAAACCTCATAAAAAATTACAAAAAAACAGGGCCGCAATTAGAATTCAATTATTTTACCCAGTAACCCAACATTCAATATTAAAATGAAGGAAATTGTACTTGGCTGATTTTTACGAAATGTTTAAGTTATATTTAACTGAAAGGGTTCATCCTTTTCTTCTTAATACTACGAAAATACATCGATTTGCGATTTTTTCAACACATGAGCGCACAGGACGAATGCTGACAGTATACTAACTAATGCCACGCCCACTATGATGACGTCTGGACCTACTTAGAATCACAGTGCACAGTTGCTTATGCCGTCTCCCCTTTGGATTAGCTTCATGAATTTAAGTCACGCAAAGGTATCTTTGGTAGTCAAAAGAACTTTTGTTTTGTCAAAATCCACTTCAGTGCATAGGTCAGCATAATTAAATTTTGTTACAATCAAATGTGTGTGTAAATTCGTAAGCGCTCAGTCAGTCAGACTTAGAAAAATTGGCAACTCCCCCAAACACCCTAGTAAGGTCACAGTCAGCCGTAGCCTTGCCAATACATCAAATTGATGAAAATTTGGTTGTCTTTACAGATAACTCAGGTCGATGACAGTTGTTTTTTACTGTTTTTCTTAAAACGTAGCATTTATCTAAATACTAACAACAAACATGTGGCGGCGCTGTCGTCGCGCCACAAGCGAAAGATATCGAAGCCTAAATCGCGCTAACAAAGTTCTGAAGTTAAAGCAGTATATATAGAATAGCTCCGAACTGCCACTCGGAGCGTTGGCCGCTCTCCGGGCAGACCCGGCGGGAGATCTCCCCTTTTCCTTCCACCGACTACAGTGGTGACCCCGACGAGATATGAACACGCAACCAATAACCTTCGGAAACTACAACTTCAAAAACCTTCGTCATCTTCCTCAACTACATCATTCATTCGCTCCCGAGCAGATATTGTCTGCAGTCTTCACATTCTGCAAGCCATCTAGCTCTAAAAAGGTTCATCGCAGCACTGGAATAATAATGCTTCCTGTTCCTTCAAGCTACCTGCACTACAGTGTTCGGCATGGCTCTGAGCCTTACTGCTCGCCTCTGCTTCACGGCACTCTCGCAGATTACTTGCCTTCTCGACTCACCGCAGACTTACAATGCAATTCCCTGGCACTTGCAAATTCATCGACATCTAGACTGCACTATCGACCTCCGATCTGAGCAGGGGGGTGATGTGGCGGCGCTATCGTCGCGCCACAAGCGAAACATATCGAAGCCTAAATCGCGCTAACAAAGTTCTGAAGTTAAAGCAGTATATATATAATAGCTCCGAACTGCCACTCGGAGCGTTGGCTGCTCCCCGGGCAGACCACCTTGCCTGGCGGGAGATCTCCCCTTTTCCTTCCACCGACTACAGTGGTGACCCCGACGAGATATGAACACGCAACCAATAACCTTCGGAAACTACAACTTCAAAAACCTTCGTCATCTTCCTCAAGTACACCATTCATTCGCTCCCGAGCAGATATTGTCTGCAGTCTTCACATTCTGCAAGCCATCTAGCTCTACAAAGGTTCATCGCAGCACTGGAATAATAATGCTTCCTGTTCCTTCAAGCTACCTGCGCTACAGTGTTCGGCACGGCTCTGAGCCTTACTGCTCGCCTCTGCTTCACGGCACTCTCGCAGATTACTTGCCTTCTTCTCGACTCACCGCAGACTTACAAGGCAATTCCCTGGCACTTGCAAGTTCGTCGACATCTAGACTGCACTATCGACCTTCGATCTGAGCAGGGGGGTGATGTGACGGCGCTATCGTCGCGCCATAAGCGAAACATATCGAAGCCTAAATCGCGCTAACAAAGTTCTGAAGTTAAAGCAGTATATATATAATAGCTCCGAACTGCCACTCGGAGCGTTGGCTGCTCCCCGGGCAGACCACCTTGCCTGGCGGGAGATCTCCCCTTTTCCTTCCACCGGCTACAAGCATGTCTTATGTAAGCCCTCAAAGATGTCAAGCTACATAAATTGTTTAACTTTTGATTTTTTGTTTGATATTCACATTAAATTTTTATGCTAATCAAATTATACGGTTGATGTAATATGTAAATAAGAAATACGGCTAAGCGAAATAAAATTATACAATGTAAGTACCCATTTCGTAATTAAAATGTTTCATCAAAAACTCCTTCAAACAATTTTGAAAAGTTTGATTTGGATAAACTGTTTTATTTATTTTGGAACAAGTCTCCAAATACAAAAGATAAATAATCCATTTGATGTACAAATTGCAAAGAAGCTGACTAAATTCCTTGATGGTAAGACAAAACAAGTAATAAGAATTACACATCAAAACAGAGAGCAAAAAGAACCAATTAAAGAGAATGTCGTCGAAAACACAATCGAAAAGAGCTATCATTTAAATGACCTTAAGGACAATCATCAAACTTTAAATGGCTTAAATAGAATATTGGTGAAGAGGATTGTTCCACACGGTTCAGAAACTCCCAATTTTGTATATGATTTTAAACATAGGACTTACTATAAGCCATTGAAAAGAATTCACAAAAATATAAAGGCATTAGACGTTCATAATAAAACTAACAAACACAGTGTTAGCAATAACTATTTACATTTTATCACCTCAAAAAATAAAAGAAATAAACTTAATAATTTTAAATCGAACAGTCTTAAATACTACAATGAATATCTCTTACAACCATTCAAATACAAATCAGGAAAACTGTACCCGAAGAGTTCCACACAAGAAATTGAAGTGATAACCAAACGGCTGAAAACACTACTGAGTGTTTTAAACTTAAATAAAATTGTTATTACGGAACCACAGTCTATAACTGATGATGATACTCTTAGAACTAAATATCAAAAGTCTGGCGAAATCAATGACCCTTTGTCACCGGGGAAGTCATTTCAAAACGGATTAAACGGAATTGAAACAACAACGGAAAGAAAGAAAGTATGGATACCGTATTACCCGCCATGGAATTACTGGACGGTGGGTTTTCTTTTTTTTTTGCGTTTTTACTCCCTCACACCATTAGTCACACCTATAAGGTGCTCTTCAAACCAGGTAAGAGTAAAACACATCGTTTATTTTATCGAGAGGATGTACGCGAAGTAATTTTTTACCAACTTTAATATAATGGACTTCCGCAAAGTAACGCCTGATTCTATTAATTAAACTCATTTGAGTTGCAACCATAACATTGCTGCAACATGACTCTACCACGTATAAAATTAAAGTTTTTCATCAGCGTTTGTAACAACCTAAGGCTTCTATGGTTAAGAGCTTGAATTCTATACCTATTTTTTTAGAAAAATAAAAAAAAGAGCACACTATCTACCAGATGGCAAATGGATCCTATGGCCCGTAGACACCTCTACCAGATGGTAGATTGTGTGCTCAGACAGACACCTTCATTTATCCTCGATTGAGAATTACAATGCACTATTATTAATTTATTTCTACCGTCAACTAGCAGTACTTGCACTGCCGTATTCCGTTCTGAAATGTAAGCCACATCGATCACTAATATAAAACTAGATACACAATCCCATGCAACAGTTCTCTAAAAACTGTCGACAATTGTTTTGACGTAATTCTAGTTGAAATAAATATACATTAATGTAAATTCAACCTTAAATTCATTTTATAAAGTTGTAATCACAAAGCTACGTACAAATTTCGTAATAGATGGTAAGCCTAGGTTAGAAGTGACAACGCATCTATTGCTTTCTTTATTTGAAGTTGACCGCAGGTTTCCCATGGGATACAGTAGCCACATTCTATCGTGGTCCGTAAGTACGTCGGCCCCTTGAGTCCAATACGCGGAAGCCATGGGGCCAAGTAGAACGGGCACTTGGAAGCACCAGTCTTCAGGCAGATCAATTGTATGGCTCCGCCACCGACCACACTTAACCGTGGAGAGTAGAGAGAGATGCGCCCCGTAATATCCATACCCCTCTCCCCTTAACCAACTCCGTATCAGCGGTACAGTCAGAGCCGCGGAGGATAGGGCGAGTGGCCATACCAACACTCCTCGTCACCCGCGACTCCCCCTCAGTTGCGGTGGTAGACCAACACATATTCGAAGTGGTCTCGCCAAGCCCACACTAGTGGCCACCACAGGCCTGCTCTTCACCTGGGGTCACCTCTAACCTAACCTAACCCCGTGCTTTAATTATGCTTTTTCACATTGAAACTAAACAAATATCTATTCACAGTACAAGAAATCGATCTATCAGGACGAATGCCCCGATGGGCAGGTAGCGATAGGAGGAATGTGCATAAGGACCCCACCTCATTAAGAACCACAATTTTACAATATAACTCTATCTTTGAAGGCATCTATTACTTATTCACATTTTTAAATAACCAAAACCAATTTTAGTGTTGCGTATAAAAGTTTTCTGCGAAAATAAAAAATAATAAATGATATATTAGTGTTTTCTTCATTTTTAATTCACCTCGTTGTAAAAAGTATTTACATTTAGCCTGTTAAGGTAGTAAGTACTCACAGTAAGCACGCGAGCAACCCGGTTCGATCTCCGCCGGCATTAATGCAATTGTTACTTGCCATTTTATTTGCAAAATACCACGTGATCGGCGGTAAATGAAAACATCGTGAGAAAAGCTATTTGTCTAAGGAATCTGGGGGCACGGCAGTACCCCCGCCAAGTCGAGCAAAACAGCGGCACAGCAGCAGCAGGCCATTTTCGACCCCCTATAACTTCATTGTGGATGAAACTAGAAGCCTGAATTTTCAGTAACCAAGCAGGCATTGTATCAACACGGTATATTTCAAATTTAATTCAATTTGAACCAGTAGTTTAAAAATTATAACTAGTCAAAGTTACTTAATTTTGTCACTCACTCACTGACTGACCGATCATCAAAACTCTAAGGCACTTCTAGCAGACGTAGGAGCTTCAAATTTAGAATACAATTAGTGTTTAATATATAAATCAAGGAAAAACTAAAATATTTTGTAATTTCGGTCCAATTTTCTAGATACACCAACTGCATAAATAACTTTGTAATCCTATATAAATATATAGGATTATAAAGTTACATTTGCAGTGAATGAATCAGTGTACCTGTATATTATGTATAATATAATGGAATAATGGATGTAGATAGGTACCTAGATATAATTATGTTCAAAGGTAACTTGTAAAATGGTCAACAGAATGAAAAACCAAGAACGGGACATGTCTTATGAAGTTGTACCAAAATCCCGCAAAGTATGAAGTAGACTAAATTGCCCGAAAATCCGTAGTTGGTATTCAAGAAGCAAATGGTACCGGAAAGGAAAACAAGTAGGACTATCTACAAAAAGAAATGAGATGCCATCAAAAACATAACTTGTAAAAAAAACCAAGCCTCGCAACTGTTCTTCTACCGTAAAAAGTTGTGAGATCCATGTAATATCAAGTCGGTTAATTTATTCAGTCCCTAAAATTATTGCGTCGAGAAATAAGTTATATATAAAATGATTTTTATTATTTTTCTATGATTTTTCAAATAAAAATGTATTTGAAGTAAAGCCACAGAAAAAAACAAACATTTTTGGTAATATCAAATGACTTAAATCATTTTACTTTTTTTTTTAATTTATTCGTGACCATGGTTGCGAGGACCTTCAGTCGGAAACATTACAGTATAACACAAATCATACATCAAATTAAGAATATTTAACTTTAGCAATAACAATTTAGAATGGTTTTCCATCATTTTTCTACTTTTTTCCCTATTATATAAATATAGAACAGACTAAATTACAAAATAAGCTAAGAAGCTATTTACAAACATTATCAATTAATTAAGGACACATAAATAATTAAAGTTTTCCTACAGTATTAAGTATAAATTTAAATAGAGGCATGAAAAAAGCTACATCAGTTAATAGATCCTGAACGCGGCGGGGAACACTTATAGAATTTTCTTCAGCGACATCACTAATTTCACTGACAAGTGTCAACCTTTGAATCCCAAACGATGGGCACTGGAAAATTATGTGGTTTATGTCTGCATTATGTTGAGCGCAATGTGTGCATTTGTCATCAGCTACGATCTTCATTCTGTACAGATGTGCAGGGACGAGGCAATGGCCAAACCGTAGGCGGTTAATGGTCGTTATGAACTTTCGGCCTGTGTATTTAAAGCGGTTGTACCACGGAATCGTTGGTAAGTCTGGCTGTAATTCTGCGTACCATTTTCCCTTATTCACGGTAGTAATGTTCCAGTAATCCTTCCACAGTTTCTTTGACAAGATTTTAAAGTGTTGATAATAATCTGTGAAGGGGACTTTACAATCTTGTGTTTGGTCTTCGTGGTGATCTTGCCGCGTCGCCTGATCCACTATCTCATTTCCGACTATGCCACTGTGTGAGGGAACCCATAAGAATTCTATACATTTTCCAATCGTTTGCAGCTTATCCTTAATTTTATACAAAATATAATTCTGTTTAGATACTAAATTACAGTTACATAAAGCAGATAAAACACTTTTAGAATCACTAACTATCAAGATATTTACACTATTTACATTGGTATTTACATACGACAAAGCAGCTAATATAGCCCAACTTTCTGCTGTAAAAATACTACAATTACTTGGCAACTTAATACATTTAATAACTTTCATTTGTGGGTCATAAAATGCTGCTTTAACAAGATCACTCTTGGAGCCATCAGTATATATAGTGTAAAAGTCTTTCTTTTCATTTAAAAATTCTAAGAATTCATTCTTAGTACTAACCGAATTTAAATGACATTTTATATCAAGATAATTAAGTAATGTATCATAATATGGGCATTTGTAAATAGGCCACTTGTTACTGATGTACATATCTCTTGTCTGATTCTTTACACAAGTTGTTATTGTTGTTATTTCAGGCAATGTACCCGAAATAAGAGTATTAGCCGAGATGTTGGCTGTTCCATTTAACTGGGAGACTTCTGCAGGATATAAAATATTACTCAGGACAATATCATTGTTACAAGACAACTCCTTCAAACAGAATCTTTCAGCTAACTGCAAACGCCGCAAGGACAATGGAGGTATGCAATTTTCAACTTCCATAGAAACAATAGGAGTGGTGCGCATGGCTCCACTGATTATTCTCAGACCCATATTCTGTATCACATCCAATTTTCTTAACAATGTGCTACTAATATTCATGTAAGCTAGAGAGCTATAGTCAAAGTGACTCCTTACAATACTTTTATACAGCATGCTAAGTGTTTTTGGATCAGACCCCCAAAAGGTTCCTGCTAAGCTTCCTAGTACATTTATGCTCTTCATGGCATTCTGACAGATATAGTTGATATGCTTATCAAATTTCAGTTTATCATCTAGCACAACTCCTAAAAATTTATGATGATTGGCTATAGGAATTGTATCATTATTATAGTTAATTTTAATTCCAGAGTTTACAAATGTGTCTTTACTGAATACTAAAACTTTACTTTTCTCAGAACTTATTTCTAATTTTAAAATGTTGCTATAATAAAGATGCAATTGTGCCAATGCAGTATTAATTCTATTAATTGCTGTATTTATATTCTGGTTTTCACTGTATAAAAGTAAGTCGTCTGCAAACTGTAATATTTTAACTTGTGATGTATCTACATAATTAAGTATCTGAGATGTGTATAAATTATATAACAAAGGTGAAAGTGTCGCTCCCTGCATTGTTCCTTTGTTAACAGGCCTAGGTCCATGTAGTTTATTGTTAAATTTAACAAAAAGAGTCCTATCATGCAAGAAATTTAAAATCGAGATTAATACATTTCTTGGCAAGCTCAATTCATGCAAAACTTTTATGAGGCATTCAATATTAACATTGTCAAAGGCACCTTTAACATCTAAAAATACACATATAACATTAGAATGACTAAGTTTGGCCTTTTTAAGTTCCGATATCAGAGATACAAAGCTTTCAGAGCAACTTCTGCCTTTTCTGAATCCAAATTGTATGTGAGGTAGTTTATCCTGTGTTTCAGCAAAATAATCTAGACGCAACTTTAACATGTTTTCAAAAAGCTTACCTAAACATGATGTCAAAGAAATAGGTCTGTATGATGATGGATCATTAGCAGCTTTATTTGGCTTTAAAATGGGGATTACACATTGGGTTTTCCATGACTCTGGTATAGCTAAATTATTCCAAAGTTTATTATAAATATTTAATAACATTTCTTGCGCATTAGGATGTAATTTTTTTATTAACATATATGGTATGCTGTCCAACCCTGGTGTTGTATCTTTCCTACTTTTCAGTGCTATGTACAATTCATTTAGTGTGAATGGTCTATTGAGAAATGAGTTACTTTCATTTTCAACAGATTGATCTAAAATATCATTCAAATAATCTTCATTTAACTGTGATGATTCTGTTATGTTGTCTAAGAAGCTTGGTATCCAATCGTCAGCCAAATATCTGTTATGAGAAGAACCTATCCTTCTAAACCTTTTCATGTAGTTCCATATTCGAGAAATAGGTGTCATTCTATTAAAACTAGTACATAAATTGTGCCATGAATTAATACTTTCTTCTTTTAATATCCTTTTCTTTTGAGCATCAAGTTTTTTGTAGTTAATGAAATTAGGAATACTAGGCGATTTTCTATACTCTTTGAGGGCCTCCTTAGACTTTCGAACAGCATCATCACATGTTTGGTTCAGGGTGCAGGTTTTCTCATTACCCTTAAAGTTTGTTGTGGTGTTTGCTTTGGAACAGTCTCTGCTCTAATATCATACAAAATATTTACAAAATTATTATACAAATCAATAGGTTCGGTACCATGTATTTCTAAATTACAAAATCTCGTTTCTGATAGTTCTTGATATTTAGACCAATCTGCTTTATTATAAATGTATTTTTCTTCCGCAGGACGCACTTCATATACAGAAGGCTTCACATTTAGAGCGACCACAGTTGGGTAGTGGTAACTGCCCATCGGGTCGTCATGGACGTGCCATTCACAAAGAGGAGCTAATGCGGAACTAACCAGAGCTAAATCTATTGCCGAGTGGTTTCTGTTAGGATACTGGACAGTTGTAGCTATGTCACCATCATTCCGAATACACAAGTCAAAGTCATCAATAAGTGCATATAAACTGTTACCTCTATTATTATTTGTCTGACATCCAAACAGGATATGGTGAGCATTAAAATCTCCCATAATAAGATATGGCTTAGGAGTTTCAAGTAGCACCTTTTTCATTTTGCTTGTAGCAGACCTGCTGCTATTGGGAGGACAATATACACATAGAATATGTAACTTACCCATAGTTGTGTCT